TCTAGCGGTATGTACAAATATCTCACAACCGCTGTGTGACGGTGCAACAGCACCCACCTCGCATCGCTCTAAACACCCTCGCCTGCCAAAAATGACGTTGCCTTCAGACATATGCCATTTGCTCGAACTTCCCATTGGCATTCGCCGGCCGGGTGACGCTCCGTCGTCTCAATTCATGGTGAGTCTCGCGTGCATACTAGGAGGTGGTGCCCTCCTGGCTGATTGATACGTGCCATTCGTTACAGCGCAACGCTCTCACCCAACTTGTGGTGAGGGGCATCGCCCCGTCCACTGTCTCAGCAACAGTATACGTTGTCGAAGTACAAGACCTTCTTTCGCTCCCCTATTCGGCGCAAGTTGCCCACATCGACGTCCCATACCGTTCCGGGGTTGAGGTCTATCTTCAGACAAATAGTCACCTTTGGGCTACAAGAATTACCATTTATTTCAACACTTTTTATGTCTTCCCAGTGAGTAAACCACCTCGGTGTACAGTCCCTGGCCCGAACCGCTTACCTCCTCTGTATTGACAGATTCGAGTCGCTGTGGCCATCACGCTTCAGGGGCCTTGCGTATCCGTATGCTTGGACGCTTCGGTGTTGACTCTTTCGACACAAGATATCCGCCACTCGCGACGCATCCTCTCCGGGCTAGAATACCAGGTAAGCAACTCGTTCACCGATTTCGCCACCCAGGGGAGGCAGCGTCAGTGGCGCCGGTGCGTCCTATTTTAATGGTACTCTGCTGTCCACATATCCTAATGCAACCCGTAGCTGATGGGACTCGGTGAATACGACGCCTTCAGCGTGTGCGGAAACGTAATATGATAACTATCTCAGGGTACAATCCGTCGCACAGCACAATATTATGTTTTTAATCATCTTTATCCGTCGAAAAGCGCCCTCGTGTTATGTGCGTGGACTCGCGGTTAGCAATGCGTGCTGTTTTGATGATAACATTCTGTACACAAACCGCCATATTATGGAGCGTCTAAAACAGCGAAGATACTTCGGACGTGCTGCTGGCAAGTGGCACTCCCGCGCTTTGATCGGGAGCGACGTCGATCCGTGTAGCTTGCTTGCTCCGCCCGGTTCATAAGCGTCCAATACTGAAGCTCTTGGTTTATCTCATCTCATTGCTCAATTCAGAACCGCAAGCCTACCGCAGCCACGCTTCGCTGCGACCATGGCAGTCATTGGTTGTGCAAGGCCGTTTCACGTTACATCAGCGGCTTTCGTATTTCGCAACAAAACGTGGGTAGTATGACTCGACCGGATGCAGGATATCCGCGACATGTTTAGATGCCCCTATCGTCATTTAATCTAAGCGCATACGCCGAGAAAGGGGGCGTGGGACATCGTTGGAACGCACCAAATGTCCGAGAAATGCGCGGGCTTTATTATGGGTTTCGTGAGCGAGAGCGTCATGAGCAACGGGTTTTTAGTGGTGCTGTTATCTTCAATTGGCGCACATTATGCGTGAAGCGTCACGCTGGCTTCGCGCTTCGCGGCAGAACTTGGTAGTGCGTGCCCACTCGGCGCGTGGACTATACATGACAACACATGGGGGAAACATCTACGTTTTCTCCCGTGGCCCACCTGGACATGACCCACAGCTGCACGAAACCGCTAGCCTGCGGATTTATGGGATTTCTGTAAATGCCTGTGCTTGACACGAATACGTGTCGAGGCCACTCACGTTGCGGAAGTGCATGGAGGCATACTTGTTGAAGAAGCGCGAGTGATACGCACAACCGTTAGAGTAGTTGAGCATAGCATTGGCTGTGCAAATGATTTCCTGCTGCGAGTGGACGACGCGGTCACGTAGGTGCGCACTCTGTAACAGGGTTAATAATAATATGCATGAAGTCGTGTACCACGTACCCAACCCTTGAGTTCACAGATAGTTCGCGCGAGCCATATCGCAGTTTCGGCGAGCAGCGAAGGCGATGTTGAGACAAGTTGTGGTTCGAAACCCTGCATCTCAATGAGATATGTCGCAACGTGTCCGTAAATTGGCAGTTGTGCGTCGTGGCCAGAGATGTAAGCCAAAAACGTGGTCGGGCTAGGGAACCCTAGATGCCACTCGAGCTTCTGAAGAATATGGGCTTCCGCGAGTTTCAAGTGGTCAGGCGAGTACGCACGCTGGGTGAAAGCTAGGAGAACTCCGGGAGGAGGCGTCCACGTTTCTTCCATTTTGCCTGCAATTAGTAGGGCCGCGATGCCGAATAGCTCGTGTGATGGCTTTCCAACTCATCGCACTGAGAGGAATCTGTCCAATATGTTCACACAGAGGAACCACATTTCCTGGTGCAACTCGAAGGTGTGATGGGTCTCTAGCAACGAGTCGTTGAGATCTCCGTGCATCTCCCACGTCAGCTCGGGTTGCGCATCCATATAATTTTGGCGCGGTATAAACGAGTGCTGTCGCACGTTCAAAGTTGTACATACCATCTATGAAGATCATGTAGCACTCACCTGATGTTGCCTAATGTACGCCAGAAAGGCAGACCCGTATTCGGTGTCTACCGGGCCCCCAATAAGTCCATCCACGTTTACGATTGATGAGGTACGAAGAAATCGTTTCTTATGGGACGACCTCAGCGCCAGGCCGTGTTACGCCAATCGATCCCCGTGGGAATATATTTTCAATCCCAGCTTATCCAAGTAAGTCTGAAAATAAGCGCCACATACAATCTTTCTTATTCACCAACACCCAGCCTGGGGTTAGGGGCAATTTTCACTACAAATTCTAGGGTTAGCCTTTCAACCATTACTTACCCATTGCTTACCACTACTTACCCCATACAAAGCCGTGTTTTGGGCGCTTATTTTGGCCTCTGAAGCGCTGCACCTGTCCCACTTAGATCACTTTATTATGTGGCTGTACTGGTCTCTAAACTTCAGTAATTCTGGGTTACTGGGCTTATTACTGGGTCAATGAAGATGAAATTCAGTGTGTAACAAAGGTATTAACAATGTGCATCTAATGAAATGTTAATATTTATAGATCAGTAAGCAAATCAGGGCTAGAACACGGGTTTACTGACCATTAACTTTCAACAGCTAACACTTCTCTCCCCCATAACATGGCCAGTTCTTACCCAAACGACAAGTTTAATACCTCATTAGAAAGGTGTTCTGAACCTGCATCCATCCTTTATATCACCGTAGTAATCCCAGTAATAGAAAACCTGCTATTCCTGTTTGCATGATAGCAAGAGTGTTATTAAGGACATAGCTCACCCAGTGTTAGAGATATAGTTTTCAAACAAATGTGATTAGATAGAGATTTACAAGAGCTTTCAAATGATACCTTGCACAGTCCATATTAATAAGTAAATGATGGAGATAATCCAGTAAGAGTGCTTACCTGGTTGTCTGCAGGAATACAGGGGGGTGAGTGTCCATCACACCAGCTACAATAGTGGAAGATCCTAGTCTGTAGTCATAAATAAGAAAGATGTAGCAACAATGGATATATAAGAAGACTACAGGCCATGTAGTGGGCATCTGAGGCACAAGTCCAGAAGCCCTAACCCCAAGTCCATATCAGGTTCTTACACCCCCCATCCCTGAACACAGGCTACAGGTCTGTAGGGTGATAGAACAGGGGGGTGCAGGATGGGGAGAAGGAAGAGGAAAACACAAGTAAAAGGAACATACCACATAACATCCACATCACCCAACTGAATTCATATGGTGTACGGTATCCACTCCTGCCTGGTGCCCCTCAGCCTTCAGCCCACAGTGAACATGATGATCTAACATAATGAGTATGGTGTCAATAAAGAACTGAATAGGAAGGGGTGGAGGGTGACACTTTCATTGGGGAGTTCTTGGGCAGCTGGCGCTAGTAGAAAGCAACTGGATACCTCTGCCAACCTGGGCAAAGAGGGCAATGTGGCACAGCTGATGGAGCACACATCTGAAATTATTCTGAGGAGAGGGGATGCCCTTGTAGGTCTTGAGAATCCTAACCAGACAAGCCCAATATGACCTGAATACATCCAGGAGTGGAGGAGATAGAAGATAGAGAGTTGGATGGGGAGGAGGAGGATGGGGTTGCAGTGGGAGCAACTGCGAGGTGGGATGTGGTTCAATTGAGATGAATGATGGCTCGTTGGAAAGCCCTCATTGAGGAGAATTGAATGAGCCCTGAATCGTACAGAACAAAGACAAATTAGCAGCGCTGTGGCTGTAGCAAGTACTGAGAGTGCTCAGAGGGATGAAGGGGCAATAGAAGCAGAACGGCTGAACGGATCGTGACCCAAGTGGGCTCGTTGGAAAAGGATTGAAAAGGGCTTTCCAACGCACCCAAGACGAGAGCAGGCGTCGAAGAACTCACAGAGATAGTGCTGCCACATCACCTGCACCCCCTCCTCTATCCCGGGAAAACCCTCCACAACTCCACCAGTTCTCCTCCAAATCGAATGAAGAAGCTACCATTAGGTAGAGCTCAGCAACCAGAATCCAACGAGGTCCACATCACCATGAGGGAGTGAGAGTTGAGGGAACAACAGCCGCAGCAATGCTGCCCCAACTGGGTTGCTGCACTAAGTGGCTGCCTCCGGAGAGATCTGCTCACCATTGACCCAGTTCTCAACCAAATTGCTTCAAAACAGTCGCGATTTGTGCGCATCATTGATCTGCATACAACGCACCTAGACGCAAAAGAATTGAAGAAGGTTGAGAGGTAGTAAAATGCGAAATACTGGTTCTCCAGACACAAAAGTGGGAATAGAGCCTTCTTGAGGGCGAGCGCTGCCGCAAAAACAGCACAGACGGATAGAGGGAAGCAATAGCTTTCAAACGGTATCTTACACGACCCACTTTGGTTAGGAGGAAGTGGAGATATTTCAGTAAGAGTGGAAGGTGACTGAGGTCAGGTGACCAAAAAAGCGCTGGTGGGCACGATAGCCTTACCCGAGCTATCGTGCCCACCAGCGCTTTTTTGTGTCACATGACATAGGCTCTGGCTCTGGTCGCATTTTTTCAAAACTGGACAGCTCAGGAATTGAACCAGGGCCCTCAGCATCATAACCACAGGTTCTTACCACTGCACCACTGGGCTGTTACTACCCCTGTCTCCTTTATGCTCTATATCATCTCTTGTAGCACTGATAAGATCTGCACAGCCACTTGAGCGCTTTTTTCCCTACCTGCCATTTCCGGATAGGGCAGGTGGCCCCAGCAGTGATTTGGTGGGCCCATATTGTTTGGCTCATAGCTTCCTCAGTTCTTGACCAAATCACTTCAAACAAATCGCGATTTGTGCGCATTTTAAGCGCCTGAATAACGCGTCAAAGCGCGTGAGAATTGGTCAACTGCATGAGGTAATATGTGCGAAATACTGGCACCACTTGGAGGAATGCCCAACTCAGCAGTGAAGTGGTGGCCACTTTGTTTGGTCCATAGCTCACTCAGTTCTTCACCAAATGACCTCAAACAAATCGCGATTTGTGCGCATTTTCAGCATCAATATGACGCATTCAAAAACGTGGGAATTGAGTGATTTTTGGGCTGATAAATTGCAAAATACTGTCACCACTTCATTCGGGCAGTTGGTCCAGCAGTAATCTGTGGGACCATAGCTCATCCAGTTCTTGACCAAATGGCTTCAAACAAATTGCAATGTGTGCATGTTTTCAATTCCAATGAGATGCATCAAAGTGGATGGGTATCAAGCAAGTTTTAGAGGTTATGAATTGTGAAATACTGTCATTATTTGGAGGAATGCCAACAATTGTGCCCCTTTTGATGCACATGGAGACTGATAAGTAGCATCATATTCAAGAGGTAGGTGAGGGCTTTCAGTGGGTGTATAACATGACATAGCTTGATCAAGATATAAGAGAGATAATCCAATAAAAGGGCAAAAAAGCACTGGCACTATATGACTTCTATTCCTATGCTGGCCCTAAGTGCACTGTTGCTTGGACAAATTATCGTGCATTATACACCATTGGATCCATAATTGAATGCTCTACCATATGGTAACAATGTGTGTGCAAGAACTTGTGCCAGAGTGTTACAGTCTGTGCCAACCAGGCCAGGAGTACTGCAACTCCGCTGGAACTCTGTCTGGACTTCCATTCGTCCTGTAACACCTAGACCACTCTAGCCCATCTCACTCCAGATACAAGTCTCACCCCATCCAGTTCCTTCTAGTCCCTCTCTGATTGTACTTACTCATACTCTGGTCAGACTTCCGCTTGGACCGTGTGATCCACTCTGGAGCTTCACTAGCTTCTGCACAGACAAGCAGATGTGCATCACCACAGGTGACTGTACGTTACTCCCGGTCAGATACTTCACTCTGCAGCTCTCTGCAAAGTACTGATTGGAAGTCTTACTTCTGGACTCCAACCCCTAACTCCTATCTACAATTAGATTGTAAGCACTGAGCGAGCCTGCCTTATGCCTTAGTTCGCATATCTCATTTACTCTCCTGCTTGTAACTCCTACTCTGAATCTACCTCCTTCTCCATTATCTCCGCCAAACTTCCATCTGGACTCTGACCTCCAACCTCTGACCTCCATGTGACTTCTGTCTCCCTTTAACTCTTCCTTCAACTCTTCCTTCAACTCTTCCTTCAACTCTTCATTCCAACCCTTCTCCATTCTGGAGTTCCGCCAACCCCATCCAAAGTCTGAAGACCTGGCAGATTGCTCAGGGTATTGCTAATAGCTTTGCTAAGTCTTCACTCTCTGGTGTGCCTGGACTCCTCACCTGTTCCTTCAGACTTCCTCTCTGGGGTTCTGCTTTTTTGTTTTTCCACTTCCTGGACTTCTGCGCACGATTCTGACACAGAGGTCAATAATGTAACTTCTTTTATACATATTAAAGCATCAGTACATTCAAATATGGATATCCTGCTCCCTCATCAATTGTATCTGCCAGACATGGCCCACTCCCACCAAGTTCCAGTGGCCCCGTTGACTGGGGTAGCCGTTTCAGGCGCCATGTGACGTGTTTTTTTAACTTTGCAGCGTAGATCGGGAGATGAGAATGGGCTAGACAAGGGTAAACAAGATGTGTTGCCAGATGAGCACTGTGACCGACGTTGTTATGCCGTAGCAAAAGCGCGTCTGCTATAAGCGCCGGTCCCGGTGATTCAACATCGCGTCTGCAGTTCTCACGCGCGCACCGGTGTTCTGCGTGAGTGGTTGCGGAATCAATGGATAAGCGGCTGGTAATAGATAGAAACAATATAAACAACGAGGGCCGTGGTCCGCGGCAGATGCAAAGCAGGGACGGACACTGTTGAAGCGGTCAGTATTCCACACGTCTTTTACGTATCGCAAAAACTACGTCGTGTGGTCACGAGAGTTCGGATTATAAGGCTATCATCATTTGTTTGCGCACGTTGCTTGTTTTGCACATCACCCAGCAAACGGCACGTATATGTCGCGACTACTCGAACCCACAAGGCGCGCAGTTTCCCGCAATATTCTCGGCTGTTAAACAGCGAGCCTCACACCAATATAGAAGTAGCAGTATGTGTCTGTACATCAACGTGTCACGGTGTTGTGGCTGCCCTAGGGGGCCGACGCGCTCTGGAAGGACGTAAGTGTTGAAGTATTCTGTGCGCGCGTGAGACCAAACCGCTCGCATGATGTGTACGTCTGCTCACATTACTGCTGCTCGGATGATGAGCCTCGTGTTGCCGCAACGGAAGTTAATGAAGCCATCTGACGACCTTCCCCGTCGTAATGCCAGCATTTCTCCAGACCAATGGCGGCTATCGTCGACGTGGAGCAGTGCTTGGTTGGGTGTTTCGGAGGGGGGACCAGATCTCATGTAGAAGTAAAAGACGGTATTCGTCGGGGGCACCGTCACCTTGTATCGCCTCACAAGCCCCGAACCGGTGAACACAACCTCCAATACAGGCACCTCTGACTCGCGAGCGCCCCCTGTGCACTCCAACGGCATGGAGAACGGCTGAGGACAACCGCGACGTGGAAATCGATATCCCCGGATGGTGCGAGCCTAGGCCAGTACCAACGGTGAGTAGGCATGTTTGATTGGGACGATGCAAATGAAAATGGGCGTATGGACGTAGACATGTACCAGGGAGCACGATAATGCGCGATCGGGGAAAGTTCATAGGGCGAGCCCGCATTCCCAATCGCCCTTTTGTGTGCGGTGGCCGTTTTAGCACTAGGGACCTTTGCCGATGGCTAGTGCGACTCTGACAGATAACGATGAGACACCCTGAACCGACATCTCATGCTCACTGCGTAAACTCCCAGTTGAGTCAACATCGGGATCGACAATCGTACCGTCACCCTATTGCGACCATGTGCCTCCGTACACTCCGTCGGACATGAGATCATCCTGCATGGAGCAGTATGTGATCGCCACGCGCGTAACGGGATGTGCCGCGCAGTGGACCAAACAGTGTTTACAGTTGTTTGCAGACCAATAGACCAATTAAGAGATGTTTCTGAGGATACACTTGTGGCGGGCAGGGAACGGAGACATGTTGCCGGCGCCAGACCAGCGGTAGAATATCAGCCCCAAACACCTGCACATTATTATTTTTCCTAAGTCCGTAGCGCCGGTCAGCGGCAAAGCCCGCTACCTCGATAGTACGTTTAAACTCCTCACACTACGCTATATCATTGAGCATTGAGTACAGTGATCCAACCAAGGTACGCTTCGGACTGCTTCGATTGGGGACAGATTGAGCGTCAGCCCGTGGCATACGCGCCAGAGGGCAGAGAGAGCCTAGACTTTAATTTTAAAGTGCCAAATACCACAGATCCCGGCCAGGATTTGTACTCATGCGCAGGCGGCCGTGACGGTAACACAGAACTTCTAACAGCACAATATCAGCTGCCCAAGAAGGATTAATGCAGACAGACGCTGCTACAGGAGCTGATGAGGCAGTCAACAGGCAGCACCGAGAGTAATGCGTGAAAAGGCCGGCTGGGGCGTGGGTCGTATATTCTGGGGTGATGTCATAGCATGGGGGCGATTGCGCAATTTGTGGAGCCTGTCACATGACTTTTGCAATTCTGGCAGGGCCTCCACAAACGTTGCGGAGGTTAAAGACCCACTACCTAGTATAGGTAGCGGGGATAAGGGCATATTACTATGCAAACGACTGCAATTATGCGGAAACAACTGTTCTGCCACTCGTGTCAAACGCACTGCTCGCCTGAGCGTGAACCCAACCGTGAGTCCTTGGAGATGGCGACATGTGCTGTCTGGAATAATGCCGTTATAACAGTGCTTCAGTGGGCGTGGCATCAATAACCTTCCCAATGTCGAGCGTTTATCAGCCTTTCATGTTATTGATCATGCTATCGCACAGCGGATCGCACGCTACAGACAATCTGTGAACTGACTATGAAGAGACCGTCGGTTCGCAATGCGGCGTGGGACACCAGCGAGAAGTGCTATGTACCCGAGCTCGAAAGTTGCATCCCATGCTCTCCAAGCGTTGTCAGCTGATACGGAGGCTTTCCTTTTTAGGACACAATGACATTCAGCTAAAACGATATCGCCGATGGCAAGGAGTGTTGGGGGTATTTGTAACATCCCAGATCGCTCGACGAGACCATCCGTGGCGTCGTAGAACGAGTCGAATAGCTATAATAATATCAGCACGGCGACATACTGCCTCGACCAGCTATGGCCACTTTACCTGTACAGCACCCAATACTGGAAACGTTCTCACTGCGCAAAACTCGGTGGACACCGCCCCTGGTACGTTCAAGTACGTGATGACGTGAGGACTAAAAACACTCACTGGGCGTAGGAAAAGACAACAAAAGCAGTCGACTGTGTTGTTCTTGGTCTATTGTCCGCAGGAGCCTCATTCGGATCTCCGTCATGGACTGCGATGACTGTGCATGTGCAGACACAGACATCAAGGTCAAAACCCCTATCACCCACACCCGTATCGGAGTGCCATTACTCGCCACGCACAGGCAACGCGACGTGGAGTCCTTGCCCCAGCACACGACCGAAGGCATCTGTGATAGCGAATAGATGCCTGCGTTTGAACGCGTATATTCAAAAAAACGGCGAACGCGGCTATAGAAAACGACCATGGTCGCATA